AGGATGGAAAGCCGAGAGCATCTTCTCTACGTGACTGTTGCGCTTATGTGTCTCTCTCATTAGGCGTCCCCAATCTCTCTCTGTCCCCAAGTCCAGGATAAGGCTCTGCATCTAAAGCCGATTACCATCCTGAACCTCGTGCTGGACCCAGCATCCTTCACAGAAAAGGTGAGCAGGCCACAGCATCCAAATCTCCTCGCTGCCACAAAGGAGGTAGTTAGAGGTGAGAAGATAGAGAATTAATCACCAGTCGAGGTGAGCCAGGAGAGGTGGGAAGAGGACCACTGGGTCGGATGTGGAGGGCAAGACTGGCTCTGGACGATGAAAAATGTCCCTGGCATTTACCTGAGGCCACCGGGCTGGGCCCTGGGGAGCCAAACTCCTAGCAAAGACCGTGTGAGCTGAGGCTTTGAAAGAAAATAGCTCAGTGCTGGAGCCATTTGTAACACATTTAGAGCAGAGAGACCTTGCAGGAGCGTCCACAGAGGAAGAGAGAGTGAGTGGGGAGAAAGATGCAGAGAGAAACTGCTTTTAAGGACAGCATTCTAATTACCTCCAGATAAATAACAGCCCTCCCTCCCCTGCTTGGGATCTGTGTGGGTGTTTGGGAGGAAAGGGGCTGCCCTGCAGAAGCCTTGGAGTGAGGCTATGTACACTGCAACCTTCCATAAAGAGACGTGGGAAGAGCTGGGTTATGCAGCCTGGAGAAGACAAGGATGGGGGTGGGAGATGTATCTGAATTTAGCCATCTATAGTCAGAGATGGGTTATTGTAGACTCACAGATGATGGGATGCAGACAATCTCCAGCCTCACTGAGGTCAGAGCCAGAGGAAAGTGCTCTGTTATTGATAAGGAAGGAAGTCCTGGCCTGAGAGCATCTGGGTCACAGCCATGAGCTCCCTTCCCTTGGCCTGGCTCCATCTCGCCCACACGGTCACCTCATGTACACACTGGCCTTTTCGGTGTCTCAGACGTCATTGGCAGAAAGTAAAGCCCTGTCTTTTTTTTTTTTTTACTTGATTTTGGTTGCACCGGGTCTTACGCATGCCGCAACTAAGAGTCTGCATGCCACAACTAAGAGGCCTTTAAAGTCCCAGCCAGAGCAGGTGAGAAGGCAGCTATCCCAAGGTTCACGCATTCCTCAGGGAGGCCCAGGACTAGCCCCTCTCCCCCAGCACTCCCAGGGGTGGGAGAAGGGAGGGGGTAAAGAAGATAGGAAAGCTAGATATTGCACAATAAAGATCCATAGCAAAATAAGTGGTGTCCCCTTCAGATTGCAAAGTGATAGACTTATTCCACTGGTGTCACCCAAGCGCAACACAACCTCTGGGAACTGCCTAAGAGCCCACACAGAGTCCCCTTCAGCCCTTGCCCGCACCCAGCTCCATCAGCACTGACAGGCATCCGCCTGGCACCAGGCTCTGTGTGGGGCGGAGGGCAGAAACTGCAGCTGGCCAGCTGCCCCCTGCAGAGAAGGTTCTAGAACTGCAGTTGGGGTAGGAGGCAGACTTGCTTTTCATTCTAAAGTGTTCTCTACTGCTTGCATTTTAAGCTAAGAGGTTGGATGGCTTTTTCAATTAAGAAATCTAGTTAATAATTTAAAAAACAATATAGAATCCCAGCTTTCTCAATGACTGGCTCCAAGATCTGGACCTGTTACTTAACCCCTGAGCCTGGGCCCCCTCCTCCATAGAGGGAGGCTAATCACACCTCAGGTTCAAGTGCTCAGTGACTGCTGGGCCTGCTCAGGTCCCTCACAGCCTCTCTGGACCACCCGTCACTGGTCCAGGTGCTCTGGCTGCCAGGACAGTAAGAGCCGAGCCGTTGCTCAGAGGTGATCCTGGAGAGTGTTCTCGAGCCACAGTTCCCTCCCAGCTACAGTCTAACCCCAGCACCTCCTCTCCCCCTGCCTCCACGGCTACTGCCCCCAAGTCTACCTGCAGTTTCCATGCTTACCCACCCCGCCCCCCGACACATTCAAACACATTCACAGCTCTGGTTCTTAGCAGGATCCCAGGTCCTGGGTGAGAGGAGGGTCCTCCCTTGGAAGGAGAGATGGGGAGGAGGATGGGGGGGCCCTCTATGTTGATCCGATCTCTGAGGGGGGCAGGGATACAGACAGCACCCTCTCCAGGAGCCACCCTGGGCTTCTGCATTAGTCACAGGCCACAGAAGCTCTCACCCAGCCTGTCAAAGCCCCATCACCTTTCCTCTGTCGTGGCCTGGGGATGTCACAGAAACCAGAGGCAGAGCCAGCAGAGTCTTTGGGTTGAAGTCCGGAGGCTGAAGGCTTTTCACCTCCCTTTGTACATTCTCAGGGTGACTTTCAGGAAATCCTTGACTTCCTTAGCTTAGCAAAGGGGCTGTCCCTGCACTCAACACTTCCCCCGCCACAGGGCCCTTGGTGAAGGGGCACGTAAGCACAAAAGCCCAGCTCCAGCTGCCAGGAGAGAGACAGGCTGTGAGTACCACTTGGGTGGGGCACACTTCCCAGATCCTGGCAACCCTGCTGCACTGCACCAGCATCTCTGCACACTCTGGGCCCACCCGGCTCTGTGCTGGGTACTAATGGGCTGTGAAAGTTCTCAGATATGCTGACTGCCCTCAAGGAACTTACTGGAAAAGTCAGATGTCCTTGTCGGAAAAGTAAGTTAAGCAGCACACCTGTAAACTCCTGATGCGAGAAAGCAATGGAGCAGCTGTTCCGTGGCCAGACAGCCTTTGTCACCAAATGGGAAGAACTGCTGGGAAGACAGAGGTAGAAAGGCCTCCCGCGGCCCAGAAGGTTGTAGTAAGATTCTCGGAAGATGCTGGACACACGCTGAGCCCTGAGGCACGTGCTGCGCAGGAAGGGAGACCTTCCAGGCAGTCACTGTGGAAGGCAAGAGGTGTCCAAGGGACAGTGACCAGACCAATTTGGCAGGAGCACATGGTGTCTGAGGGGCCCTGGGAGAGATAAGTGTTGGGGTCAGATTCTAGAAGGCTTCGATTGCCAAGGTTAAGGAGCTTGGACTTTATCCTCCAGGCAATAAAGTGCCGCTGAAAGTTTCTGGGCAAAGGAGGGCCAGGACTGGAGCTGTGCCTAAGGAAATTGATGTGACCAGGGTGTGCCAGGTGGCCTGGGGAGCAGAGAGGCCAGGTAATGGGTACTTAGCTGCATGTGAGGGGATGTGAACACAGGGAAGCCAACCCTGAAGGGAGTGGACCCCATACGGCCTGAATGTTAGGGCCCTAGATTTTCCCACAAATGGGAAAAGAAAGTCTCTGAGCAGCCAAGTGTTGGATCTGCAAGGAAAGCAGAGTCCCAGGCAGCTCCAGAAGCAGCCTCAGTAGGACATGGGGCACCACATATAGCACCAAGCTTGGATGGGGCCCAGCCCATATGCTGGGCTCTAACGGGAGTGATTCTAGAAAAGTCTGGACTTGGAGTCAGAAGGCCGGTGTCCCAATCTGGGCTTACCACCCATTCTTTGCACGACCACGGTCACGTCCTAAAATCTGTCTGGGCTTCGGTTTCCCAGAAAATTGAAAACATGCTACTTGCTCTGTCTGCTCCACGGGGTTGTTCAAAGATCAAAGGGGACATCATATGTGACCCTTGTTTCACTAGATTTTGCCAACTGTCAATCACGTTTCAGGAAGCAGAAAGTAAGGAAGGTGTTTTTCCTAAATCAGACGTCTGCAGTTGTTTAATTCTTCCCTCCTTCACACTCACCCCCAACATTTCATTCCCTGTCTTTTGTCCTAGAATATATGTCTGACTCCCCATCTCTCAGGTTTACTGAACGGATAAATGATTTACCTTTGTTTTCTGTCAAACAACTAGGACAATGTTTTCCACCTAGTTGGAGCTCAATAAATGTATGATTGATTAATTAATAAAAGTGAACCTAAGGAGGGTGTTTTAATCCTACTCAGTGACTCACTTTAATATCTTAAAAAAAATAATTAGGATGTCAAGTTGGAGATGTCTCCCCTGCCCCCACATCCATTCACAGAACTTCACATCATTCATCCCAGAGGAGGGCAGGGTAAGGTAGTGGTTAGCAGCACGGGCTTTGTGCCTGTGTTAGACCGAGATCCCTGAGTCTGGGCTCTGCTACTTACTTAGCTATGACCTTGGGCAAGTGATTAACCTCCCCAAACTTCAGGTTCCCCAACCACAAAATAGAGGAAATGTTAGCTATTCCTAAGGTTGCTTTCAAAGATTAGCTGCCATCTTAGCGGTGCGCCTGCAAATAGCAAGTGCTCAGTGACGGTTCTGTTACTCAGATTATTGAGAGCTCTTATTATGATGATCGCTATTATTGTCCACAGCCGCATCACCAGGATTTGGGGGGACTGGTATCTGGGTACAGATTTCCCATTAGCGTGGATGACTGCGAGTATTCTGTGACTGCCAACAGATTAAGCCTCTCATCACTTTCAACTGGAGAAAGCTTTGAAATGCCTCACCCCACAAGCCAACCTAACATCCTGCTATCAACTGGCATCTGGGGCTGGGGGCACTGAGTTGATCAGTCGCCCTTATGGCGCTAACCCAGCGTTAATGGTGCAAGTGAATTACAAACAAGGCCCACCTGCCATGTTCAGCAACGAAACATGGCAGGAGGGTAATTGTCCGGAACTTGAGCACAGGGGGACACAGCAGGCGTGGAACACATTAAAATGTGGAAGAGCAACAACCTAACACTCCTTCTCCCGCTCAGGCCCAAGGAGAAGCCAGCAGGCCAGGGGAAAGGAACGCAGGTGCCAGATGGGGAAGGTTCCAGAAGAACAGATCTTCCAGACGACCACGGCTGGCCGCCCAGCGCAGCTGAGGGGAAGGGGAGAGCATCCGAGTCAGCTCCACGCAGCCTGGTGTGCCCATGGGAGCTTGGAGGCTGAGGAGGTCCAGCATCGCTCTGGGCCGTGGCTGGGCGTCCCACCCCACAGGAAGGCAGCCTCTTTGTTTTTAACCTCCCCACCCAGGAGTGACTGGGGTAGATAATGGCCTCACCCAGGCTGGTGGCATGAAGACCAGTCGCTTGTTCATTCATTTGTTCATCTCCATGCTGAGTATGCATTCACTAGTCACCAGCTGCAAGCGGAAAGAAAGCTACCATGACACAAGACGTTCTTTCAAGGGGAAACAGGCACAGACCTCAGTCGCCAGGCGCAGGCTGGGAAGTGCAGTCACAAAGCCAAGGTATAAGGCAGGGCTGGCATGAGGCAGAGGGCACTCTGTGCTGCCCAGGCATGGTCGGAAACAGACCCTTACACTGGTCTTGAAGGATGGAGATACACAGCCCATACATGCATATACTATATACCACACGTGCAGGTACATACACGTACACACATATCCTCAGGTTTTAGGCATCTAAATGGGAAACATGCGGCCCAGGGCTCACACAGCTCCACTAAGTTCTCAACACGCTCTGAGACCAAAAGGAAAAGGACAAACTCAGGTACGCAGCAGACGGCAGTCCTTGTCTTTGACCATCTTCACTGTCTACTGCAGGCAAGAAAAAGGCTAACCCCTTCGCCTTCTCCCTCACAGCTGGGGAGGTTTGCCGATGGCCTGGGAAGTGACTTTACAGTCGGACTTTCCGCCTGGCCTGCTTGAAAGAACAGCCTTCTTCCTCCTGCTTCCCGCCTCACGAAAGGTCAGACCGTGGAGAGGCGCAGTGACACTTCAGGAAGCCATGAGAGTAGCGGGCAAGTGCATTACCTCCGGAAGGCTGGGTTCCAATCCCATCTCCTTCATTTACTAGCCATGATCGAGACATTGACCTCTGAGTCTCAGGTGCCTCATCTATAAAATCCTGATAACAACTGTACCTACCTCACAGGGCTGCTGGCAGTTTTAAGTGAGAAATGCATGTCAAGTGCTTAGCAACAGTGCCCGGTACATAGTTAAGCCCTCAATAAATATCTTCTAAATATTCTTCATGATGGCACCCCATCCCTGCTACCTGGAAGCAAACAGCTCTGCTGAGTTCGACCCACACATCTCATCCAGCAGAGAGCATTTCACCAGCACTATTTCATTCATTCAACAAGGATCAACTGAGCACCTCGTGTGTGGGAGGCATGAGGTCTTGTGTAAAAACACAGGGTCCTTGTCCTTGAAGCATCTATGAAGGATAAGAAGCCCACCTGTGTCCTGCCGACCTGTATACACATGCAGTCGTACCCATGTATATTCACACACTTCTGTGCACACACAGAACCCCTGCCCCTGGAAACCCGTCATCTATCGATACGTTTAAAGCACTATTATCCCCACTGTAGGAGGTGATGGTTAGTAAAGTCTAGGCAGCAGACAGCACAGGAATAACTAACCTGTGTGTTCTGGAAGCGGAAACTGAGGCTCAGAGAAGATAAATGCCTTGTCCAAAGACCAGGGGGAGGGTGTGCCGGGAGCCAACGTTACTGGGCTTGCACACGCCGTGCGTGTGCGGCGAGCTGGCCCCTCCACGTGGTTACTTCATCAAGCCCCACGACAAGCCCATGAGGCCTGGGTCTGGGCCCTCCTGCAAAGATGAAGAAACAGAAACACAGCAACGTAATTTGCCAAGGATCACAAAGCCAACATGCGATGGGCCAGGAGGCAAACAGTTTTGTCTGCCGCAGGCCCAGCAGCCTGTGCTCCGATCGCCAGCAAACACTGGTGGCGGGCCTGCGTGCACCAGGCATGGCGCCCGGCCAGGCAACGCCGGGTCCTCTAGGTGCCCCACGCATCCCCTGCACGGTCCCACTTTGGGACCTAGAACGTTCTTCCCCCAGAAAAATTGACACACGCCCTCTCCTTCTTCATGTCTTGACTCAAATCTCAGAGTCTCAGGAGGCTTTAACCTCCCTGCTCTACTTTCCCTTTCTTCACGCAGCACTCACTACCCCCTAACGTACATAATGTACTTATCCGCGACCTTTCTTATTTGTATGGGTTGCTCCTGCACGTGCTTGCGAAAATGTAAGCTCCCGAGAGCAGGGATTTTGTCTACTTTGTATTTATGTATGTATATATGTATTGGCTTCATTGGGTCTTCATTGCTGCCCACGGGCTTCCTCTAGTTGCGGAGAGCGGAGGCTACTCTTTGTTGCGGTGCGCGAGTTTCTCAGAGCACAGGCTGAGTAGTTGTGGCGCACGGACTTAGTTGCTCCGCGGCATGTGGGATCTTTCCGGACCAGGGATCGAACCTGTGTCCCCTGCATTGGCAGGCGGATTCTTAACCACTGAGCCACCAGGGAGGCCCCGTCTACTTTGCTCTTTATGTGTCCAAGCACCTAGAACAATGCCTGCCATGTAGTATGTGCTCGACGGATGTGCTGAATGACTATGAGAAACACGTGAACAGTAAGTGGGCACTGGGATTAAACACTCACAGTGCTGACTAAGGCTGCGGCCACCAGGAGTCTCCCAGGTCTGCTGGGGGAAGGGTGGCCTCAGGAACTTGTAGATTCGACACCTTCCTATTGATCAGAGACAGAGGCAGCATTAGAAGCATCCGACTTACAAGGTTCTCACAGCAAACGAGGTGAGAAGGACATCAGAGAATTTCAAGGCATTCTTGCCCTGGATTCAAGGAGAACCCAAGGCCGCCACTGGCTGCGCCAGAGCCCAGCTGAAGGCTGGGAACCAAGCTCCGCTTATCAGCACATCCTGAAGGAGGGGTGGGAAGGGTGGGTGCTCACAGCCTGGAAAGTTGAGGGAGACTAAGAAAGCAAAGCCATGATGTAGGAGACGCATCCAGAATCTCGGAGCCGCAAGGGACCTGGGAGATCACCTAGCACAGGATCCTCACCTCACAGACACCAAAATGAGGCTCAGAGATGGAAAATGACTTCCTCGAGGTCAAGAATTTGTGCCAGAGCAGGTTCTAAAACCCGAGTCTCCTGGCTGCTGGACCAACGCCCTTTTCATGGTAGGTAGCACTTACTCATTAAAATGTTTTTGTTTGTTTTAACTGTCTTCCACAAATCAGCTCTCTCCTTGGTAGTAGGGACACAAGACAGTGTGCAAAACAGATAAACACACAGGTAGCCATCAAATTCAAACACCAAGTGCGTGGTGTTATCATGGAGGAAGTGTTGCCTGGTTGCCACGGGAATGTTGGGAAGGGGTCCCCAAGCCAGGCTTGGGGAGGGGGTCAGAGAGGACTCCTCTGAAGAAAGGACATCTAAGTGGGGACCTGAACAATCAGTTGGGATCAGCCAGAGGGAAGGGGAGGGGTGGGAGAGGAAACAGCACATACATGGACTAAAGGGAGAGGAAATAGGGACCTTTAGGGATCGGAAGGTGGTGAAAGCTGACGCCCAGATGGATGCAGGACCTGGTCATCCAAGGCTTTGGCAGCCATGCTAAGAAGTGTGAATTTTATTCTAAGAGCCATTGAACGGTTTTAGGTAAAGGGGTGACATAATCAGAATTATAAAAAGAAAATAGAAAGATTGCTCTGACTACAATTCAAAAATAGTTTTAGAGGGGCTGCCTCTGGAGTCTGGGAGATCAGTTGGATGGCTGATGTAGAAGTCCTGACAAGAGATAAGGTGACTTGAAGGAAGACACAGCCGGTGGGGGGAGAGGGGTGTTTGCATATGAGACCTTTTCAGGAGGTAGAGTTCACAGGACCTGGTGATCTGATGTGGATCATGAAAAAAATGGGAAAACAGGATGACTTCCAAGGCTTCTAGACTGGGCAACTGTGTGGCTGTTGGTGCCACCAGAGCAGAGACTGGGGTGGAGGACAGAGGAAGGAAAAACTAGAAGAAAGGGACAGTAAGCCCAGAGATGCCAGGAGCATCTGTGGTGTGGATGTCTAGCAAGACGAAGAGAATGAACACCAAGCCCTTGGAATCCTTCCATCCAGAGCTGACCTTGCTGACCTGAACTCCAAGTTCCCCTTTGCACCTCTGTCCATGGTGCTGCGTATTCAGCCGGGCCGTACTTCACAGACTGTGACTTCTCCCCAGGGGCTGACCCTCTGCTCTTCAAAGTCAAGGGGTCACCTCTGACAGGGAGGATGTTAAGAAAGGCACCGAGAGTTGTTTCTAGTTCCTGAGAAAGGCAGGCCTCTGCTTTTCATGCCGTCCAGAAGACACAGTTGAGAGGCAACACAGCATGTTACTTAACTTCTCTGTGCCTTGGTTCCCTTATCTGGCAAACGGGGTTAAACATAAGCACCTCTTCATAGAGCTGTGAAGGCTAAATGATTTAATGTTTCTTAAAGAGCTTAGAAAAGTGCCTGGCACATAGTAAGTGCTACCTAATTGGTAAATTAGTAAAAATGAATGCATAAGATGAAGATTTAGATGCCATCATGGGACGCAAGATAGACCGAGTTGGGGGAGGTGCACTTCTGTAGGCAAAGGGGACCCAGGAGAAAGAAGGAGCGCTTTGCAGTTTAGGATTTAAGCACTCAGGCACGCTTCGCTGGGAGAAAACCTGGGCTGCGTCAAACGGATAGATTCAACCAGCTTTCGCCTCAGATCGCGCCCAAATATAATTATTCTGGGTGTGGGTCTTCTTCGAGAAGTAATGTTTACTTCAAAACCCAGCAATTGCACCCCAAATGGCTTTGATGTATGTGGAATTTGACCAGCCTCCATTATATTAGGGGAGGCAGTCCTGTTTTATGCATCAGGCTCTCTCTAAAGCACCGAACTTTACAGCACATTTGTTATGTGGCTCAGCGAAAGGTGTATGAATAAAGAATAACCTGCTCAATCAACACTGCTCAGCCAGGAAGCTACTCACTCTGCCTGTGATTTGCCAAGCACCAATGGGGGAAAAGAAAAAAAAAAAAAAAAAAGCCCATCCCATCAGGGCACCCTGACATTGCATTTAGACAGGCTCATGTTCCTGCTTCCACTTTTGTTACTTGCTGGTGAAAACAGTACAGCCCAAACATGAAGTCACTCATTTGCCCAAAGAGCATGGGCTCCATGCCTATCTGGCTCTCCTCTGTGCCTTGTTTCTGGAAAGGAGAGGAAAAAGATTTGTTCGTGTGTCTGGTCCCCCTCTTGCCTCCTCTCTTTCACTTCCCTCCCTTCCTGCATCTTCTCTTTCATTTCTATTTTTCATGACTCTTTCCTCCCAGCTGACCACCGAACACCTATGTCCAGGGAGGCCCGTGGCACCAGGGTCCTCAGATACAAAGGGGGCAGAAGCTCATTTTGCCTCAGCTTGGCGTCTGGTCTCTGTGAAATGCCGGGAGAAGTCTGATCCTGCTCAGCCAGACACCTCTGACCATGGTCCTGGACTCCAGTCCCATTCTCAGGGAGCCCATTCTCTGGGCTAAGGTGGAGCCCAGAGTCCAGAGAGCAATACTCTCTCTAGGGAGGAATCCTAGTTGGTCCCCAAGGTCCCCCAACACAGCTTTCCTAAGCTACTTTTCTTAGACGTCAAGACCAGCCCCAGGCAAAACTGTGATGTAGGCAAGATTTGTTCATTCACTCATTCAACCAATGCTTTTTGAGAATCTACTCAGTGTCAGACACTGGCCTAGGGCTGAAAATATCATGGTTCAACCTTCCTGCCCTCACAAAACACTACAGAGTGCCACGGGGGGCAAACAGAGGGGCACCTAAGCTCCCCTGGGGATTGGAGGTCAGAGGAGGGTTCCCAGGAGAATACCATCTAACATAAAAGACAAAAGAAGAGAAATAAAGACATGTCCAAGAATATTTAAGGCATCACTGTTCACGAGTGTCAAAACCTAAACATCCAAACATCCATCAACCATAGAATCAGTAAGTGGTGGCGCATTCAGACAATGGAACACGGCAACGAAAACGGACACTCAGTGGATGAGTCCCACAAAGAGAACGCTGAACAGAAGAGAGCCAGACACAAAGACTCATGCTGCACAGTTCCATGTTCATCCAGCTCCAAAACAGGCACTGGGAATCAGGACCATGGTCAGAGCGGCTAGCTGGGGGCCTGAGAAGGACAGTGGGGTGCCGCTTCTCAATCCAGGTGCTGCATAGAAGGGTATGTCTACTTTGTAAAAAGTCAAAGCTGTATACTTATGATTTCTTCATTTTGGGGGTATATCTGATAGACTTCGGTGAAAAAGTTTACATTAGAACATTTTTAAGACAAACAAGAGATAACCTGGCACAGCAGGGGGCCTGCCTGTCCTCAGTGCCCTTGTCTCCCCTCCTCTGCTCTCTCCCCATTATCACCCGACCTTACGCCCCTCCCACCCTGCAGTCCCGTGGGACACCATCGGATTAGTTAATTCACACTAAATTGTCCATGACTAACAGCCGTTCAACAGTATTACCCCTCCCTGGGGATTCCTTTTTTAATAAAGCAGAACCGCCTTCACTCAAAATAGTAACTACAACCAGGCAGCAGAAGCTGGCGAGGTTAAGTGATGGGGTGTGGGCACGGCCCTAATTCACTTCAACGCACCCTATGCCACTACTTAACCTGAAGCCCTAGGACATGCTGAGCCTCTTGCCTCTTCCTGGAGAGTAAACAAAGGGGGCAAGGCAGCTGGCCTCCTGGGTCACAGCGGGGAGGCAG